CTGACAGTTGCACACACATACTCAGACACACACACACTCACATACACACACACATATCAAGACACACACACAGACGCTCACAGACACATACTCACAGACACAAACACACATACAAGTGTGGGAACTAACCCAAGATCCACCCCCCAAAAAAAATAATATACACTCATATATAAATATACACACGTAAACACACACACTGACAGGTGCACACACACATACTCAGACACACACACACACACTCATACACACACACACAGACGCTCACAGACACACACACATTCACAAACACACATACACTCACAGACACACACACAAGTGTGGGAACTCACCCAAGATCCACCCCCCCCAAAATAATTATATACACTTACACACACACATACACTCACAGGACACACACACACACAGACACTCACACATACAAGTGTGGGAACTCACCCAAGATCCACCCCCCCAAAAAAAATAATATACACTCGTATATAAATATACACACGTGAACACACACACTGACAGGTGCACACACACACACTCATACACACACAGAGATGCTCACAGACAGACACACACACACACTCACAAACACTCACAGACACACAGACTCAGACACACACACACAAACACATACGCACTTATATACACACACTCACAGACACATACACTCACAGACACACACACACACTCACAGAAGCAAACACACATACTCACAGACACACACACACACTCACAAATTATTATTTTATTTAAAATTTTAAAAAGTCCACCCAGCCTCTCTACCTGGAGAGCTGGCATGGACCTGTCCCTGGAGTCCAGTGGGCTTCAGTGTGGCGGGTGCCTGTCTCCCTGTCAGACACGGCGAGGGAGCTGTGTCCTCTCTGATCTGCTCCCTCTCGCCATGCGGGCTGTCATTGATGCTGGGAGCAGGAATAGGATGTCATATTCCGGCTTCCGACATCTGCAAACATGCGGGGGAGCAAAGCAGAGAGAACACAGCTCCCTTGCCGTCAGTCACAGGGAGACAGCTGCCCACCAGGGGGGTCCATCAGGTGGCCATCAGGCCATCTCTTGGGCCCCCCGGGCCTTTTTTGCCGCCCCTGAATGCCTGCAGGACCACAAACGGGAATGGCGTTCCTGCTCTAAAAAAGTGCAGGAACGCTGTTCCTGCAGGACTCGAGCCCTGATGTGGGAGTGTCATTCCTTGTTACACAATTTTTTATTGGCTTTCATGTTTTGTGTCTCGGTGCCAAACTAGGTCCACCCGGGCGTCACCTTTGCTGTATATGACGGTTGCCCGTGGGTAGCTGAGGGTTGGACCATCTAAGGATGCTCCTAGCGCTCACCAAGGACCATCAGCACCGCACCAGACACCATAAGCACTGCAGACCCCACAAACCGTCACAGCTTGGTTGGGGTCTCGCAGTCTTCTACCCACCCTGGACCTATGACAAGGCTCCTGGCTCCAGTGGGTGAACCTTTCTTCCTTCAGAGAGTGAAGCAGGAACAGGAACAAGCTCTTACAAGAGCTCAGTGAAGCTAAGGGAGTATGAAGAGCATAGCAATCCCTGTAGCTGTCCCCTCCAAACACGAGTTGAGGCTGCAAGTTGAGGGTCATGTAGAACAGGTTTATTGAGCACAAAGGCATTTCTTTTATACACATTTTCAGGCCAGAGGCACTCCCCCTGGACCTGATGGAACCCAAGGACAAAAGGGACACAAACCAATGAGAACAATAATTAATACAGTAGCACTCCAACATACAGTCAGCAATCCCACCCCTCTGCCTGTGATATAATTGAGAGCTAATGGAATAATTTAATTATCCACAGGCAGAAAATACCCATTTTTACCCAAAGTTCAGAAACACCCCAAAACTCAAACATATCCCCATAAATCCTACATCTCTGGATAGCTCTGATCTGGGCGAACAACATATCCAAAAATCACCCAGATCAGAGCAGGGGTTCAAAAGTTTTATGGAAGCCTCTTTTGACCGACCGCAAGCTTGGCTTTCATGCCCCAAATAGTTAGACAGATTTAGGCTGTGCGGCCGGTCTATCTTCTCATTCACATAATGTATAAATTTCACGAACGGATCAGTTTGTGAATAACTCCATTAGATGCGTCTCATTCGATAGTTTGCTTTCACTGAATATCGCTCTGTTCGTGTGTATTTAGCCGAACGCACAGAAGGTGGAAGTATCAGTGGTGTTCGTGCCTTTGAGTGTCCGAATTTAGTTCAACGGCAAAACACCGCTGAGCGCGTTCGGCTAAACAATATGTGTTCGTTCATACGAAAGATGACCACCCAGCCGTTCGTCAATTAAGCTGCGGTTAACCACAGCTTCTGGGTGGTTAACAAGCTGCAAACTCCACATGCAGGGTGGTCGGTTGTTCAGCTGTTTGTTTGTCTGCTTGAATAACAGTATCCTGGCTGTAATAGAAGTTTACTTCACCGAACCAATCCCCGAATACACAAGGGAGAATATAAAATCCAAGTAATGCAGGCAAAAGATTCAATCCAGGGACAAAGGGTTCTGTCAGCGTTTGTGGAGTCTGCGGTGGTTGTTGTGTCCAGTGTGGTGCTTATAGTCCTCGGCGTCAGCTAGGAAGCATCTGTTAACAGAGGTACCCAGTTGGGGTGCAAGGTGATCCATTACATGAGGGTTTATTGGTATTTATGGGGATAAAAGTGTTTTTAGTGAGTGAGGATTGGTATTTCAGGTGATAATAGGATTGGTAGTGAGTTATGGAGTATTAGTATTTCTGTGGTTAATAGTGTATATAGTGAGTGAGTAGTTATTGTTATTTTAGGGGTTAATAGTGTTGGCAGTGAGTGATGGGTTGTTGGAATTTCAGGGGTTAATAGTGTTTATAGTGAATGAGCAGAGTTTGGTATTTCAAGGGTTAACAGTGCTTTTAGCGAGTGTTGAGCTTTTGGAATT